TAGAGTATCAGTCGGTCACTCCTGAACCTGTTGAACAATTACTCTTAGATATTCCCCAGTGGAGGTTGTCTCACCAGTGCCATCTCCATTGAGGATCTTGTTCTTCCCGTTTATTTCTAAAAGTGACAATTGGTCGTGCTCGCACCAGTTGGCCATCACTTTAGATTTCCCTAGTGTCATGTTGTTTCCCAAGTGCGTTGTATTCCCCAATATTGTTTGTTCTTCGCATCTACATTGGTATGGATATAATCGGACAAGCTTATTCAGTCGAGTTCAATCAGAGGAACTTAATCGTTTAAATTTAATTAAAGGAATTTAATTTTTTTGGGAGTAATTTAGTTGGACCAGTTTATTTAAGTGAATTTATTCGGTTAAGCTTAAGCGGATGAACTATTGGGAAATTTAATCGGAGACGTCAAATTGAGAATTGAGTTCGGTTTGTTGGAAATTGGAATATGTTTCATATTTCTTACAAAGTAGAAGAAGGAATTCAAAAATTGAGTTTATTATTAAATACTATTTGTTACAATATTACAATGTTACAAAAAATAGTAATTACAAAAATAAAGTCCTAAATTCCTACAAGGTCCTATCTTTTCTAAATCTGTCTTCAAGGCTGATTTCTTTGAATTTCGGACTTTTTTGAACCTGCAAGATAAAACAACAGAGCAGAAATTGTTATTGGTTAGAAAAACGGTTTTTGGTTGTAATCCGTACCCTTAGTTTAATTTCATCATCGGGTACGTCGGGAGGGCAACAACGAAGTCAAAGCCAGCTCCCGACTTATTTTCCGACCTCGGCAAATCTGGCAACATCTGTTCTTTTTTGTCCAAAAGAGAGAGAGAGAGAGAGAGAGAGAGAGAGAGAGAGAGAGAGAGAGAGAGAGAGAGAGAGAGAGAGAGAGAGAGAATTAATTTTTAAAAAAGGTGATTTTTGAAAAAGCGCTTTTGGGAAAAGCACTTTTTCATAAAAAATGCTTTTTGCCAAACGGGTCGCTAACAGCTTGCCCCAAAATCATTGCCACCAGAATGGATCAAGCACAATCTGAACCCAGCCAAACAAAGTTCTAACGAAATCTAAAAAGTGGCAAATGGGTTCGTAAGAGCAACAATAGCGAAGTCAAACAACCACAGCCATAACAATTTCGCAATAGCAAAACCTTCAAGCCAAAACAAATCACAGCCTGAAAAATCACAAAATCACCTCAACAATCAAACTCAGCAAACATTCCAAATTCACAGCTATCAAAGCAAATCCCTGAAAAACTCAACAGCAACAAACCCTGAAAAACGCAAGGCCCATGCCCAGAAGAAGAAAAGTTATAATGTGAAATAACCATCAGAAATCGTAAAAGGGGCAGCGTGAACCCTAATATTGTTCTTCATCAAGAAACGGCAACAAATCTAGCGGAAAAGTCGTGAATTCAGGCCCATAATAACAATATAAAACGCATGCGAAGAACAACAAAGGGGGGAGTTAGAGAAACCCAGAAACATCACAAGTTCCATCATCATCAAACTCAGCTGACGGCGAAGAACCACCAAGCCTCAGTCACGCGAGTAACATCATCGGCCATTGTCAACAAGGAAACTCATCACAGAAGATTCAACATTGCCGACAGATCCCAACGAAAAATCCACGGTCGGAACACTAAGAACAGAGGCGGAGGCTCAGCTTCCAACATCATCGTCACGCGAACCTCACCAAACCGCCATCGTCGCCGTTACCGTAAGCTTTCTTCTTCCTTTGATTACGGCATTTACGTTTATTGCAGGTTATTTTGTATGTAGGTGGTAGATGAATGAGGACAGGGACAAGGAAAAGAAGAAACCATGACGGAGAGAACAAAGAACGTGAGCAAGACCCTCCCATGAAAGGTCTTCCGCTGCACCAAGGCAATGGGGAAAAAGATAAAGAAATACCCTGGTCACACTTTTATCAGCAAAACGTGTCCCTTTCTCTTCTTTGTTTATGATTTTTTTTCTTTTTTTTATTTATATTTCAATGCATAATTAATGTGTTAATAAATTAAATTGATAATGTTTTATAATTTATTTAATTTATAATTAACGTTTTAGTGATTTAGATTAGCATTAGGTTTTTTTGTAATTTAGAATTAGTTTTTTATATATAGTTTATGGTTAATAATAAATTTCTTAATAATTTAAAAAATAATTTTTTAATAACTTAAAAAAAAACTTTCTTTTTAAAAAAAACGTTTGAAAAAACTTAAAATTAAATTAATGACTTATAGTAAAAAATTCATTTTAGTCGAAAATTATTTTTTTTTTATAATTACTAACAATTATTTTAAAATTAAATTAACCCTTCTGTTCAAAAGCTAAAATTAATTGTCTCGTTGTAAATAATAAATTCAAAAAAATATAGAATTTTCTAACTTGGTTGTTTTAATTTTTGGCTGAACATCAGTTGATCCCTCTTCATCTCTGCTTATTAATCCTTGATTTTTATTCATATTTCAATTTTTCAATTGTAATTATGCGAGGCTATCGTCGCTTTTATTCCGTCATTTTTTTTGCTTTTTTTTCATGGTTGTAATTTACGCGAGTGATCGTCACTTTGCATTGTTACTGCTTTCATATTTTTCTCTATTTCAATCTCGCCATGTAATAATTTGTCGTTTGCATCATTTACCGTTAACATCCCTTCCGAAGGATTAGGTCTAACACTTTGACTGCCGAGTCAATAACATTAACCTTTGACTATTTTAAAACCTTAATTGCCTAGGCGTCCTGCCGTGGACTAAATTACACTTTACCCTAGCATTAGATCAAGGAGTCGCCGCACTTCATTTTAGGGTTTCCCGCCGTGAAATACCTATTTATCCCTTTTCAATTTCAATTCAACTATTTCAACGTAGAAATAGGAGTTGTCGCACTCCACGTAAGCGCTTCCTTAAGAACACTTATTCCCTATTAAAACATTGACCATCGTCAAGACGTTTCTATCCTCCATTTCAATGGGAACTACGATTACTCTGATTTTATCCCTTACCAAGGATACGTAGGCACAAGATGCAAATCTTGCCGAATAAACTTAGGACTAACCCTTAGGTCTTTATTCTCACCTTCTAACCCTTAGCATATGCCCTAAAACAAATAATCAAGCAAATAATTTAATATACACAAACCAAATGTAGCAATTCTTACTTCCCAGTTGAATATTCTACATATGATTGATAACAGGCTTTGAACCCACCAACCAGCCATAATAGTATTTAACAAATAAACTACACACATGATAGTGATGATAATCCAAACATTCTAGTGGAACTCACATGCTAGAAAGTAAAACTAATAACATATATAGAAAAACATTTAAAGAATCATTATAATATAATGAGAAATATTAATATTGTTTAATAAAAGAGTTTCCAAAGTAACATGATTTTAATTATGAGTAAACCATACTACAATTATACACATTGTTTGGACCACAAACTCATCAATAGGTTATGGATCACTTCCAATGAAACTTCTATATCTTTTCTTTCTCACTTTACAGTTATAAACAATATAGTAATATACAAATCATTACAGTAGTATTTTGCTGAAATTGAGCTAAATGAGTTTCTTTCTATGAATCTAACAATATTTAATGAAAAATAGTATTCACATTCAAAGACTCATGAGACTCTATTCAACCAAACCTTAATCCTTATGTCCTTTTTGACCCTTTATATAGTCCCTTATTCATTTTATAGTCCAAGCAAGTTGTCCCTCACATGGCATAATTCATCTCAAGTATTTAATTTCAATATTAAAGTCCAAAGTTTTTTAACTATATGAGAATTATAGAAGAACAATGATCTTCTTGATAATAACTAGCTTTCTACTTGAATCTCAATTATACAGACAATTAAGAAGCAAAAATCTTAATGTAAATGATACCATCCTACAAAGAACAAGACAATCTATATGAGAAATGTTAATATGCAAAAAAATCTATTTTATAGCGAAAAATATACCACTAGAAGTTTGTTACGGAATAATACATCCAAACCGTGCGTCAAGTGTATTTTCAACGGTCGCGACAAAACAGTTTCGGAAGATACTGAATCTGGTACCATTATTCACTATTTTTATGACAAAGAACAAATTGTAATTAGGGAATTAATAATGACATATTCTTATAAAATTATAGGTTCCTATTGAAAATATACTAGGAAAAATCAGGGGTATAACTACAAGGTACAATATTAAACTGTTAACCAAACTGTATAATGATTTCATTTAAAAAGTTTTCGTACACTTCCGGATCACCACTCGCATTCAAGAGTTCCTTGGCTGCAGCCTCTTTCATTTTATTAACCAAATCATCTTGAGCTTGAATAACTTTTAAACGTGAAGCATTCAATTGCATAAAGTACTCAATGCAACAAAGAAACGTGTATGCAATATAAATCATCTCAAGTATCACCATTTTTCAAGTTAGAAAACAAATACAAGACATTTGATTCTGCTATGAATGAGAGGTTCAAAGGACCATAGTGAAAATATGATCCATTAACAAACTGACATGTATCACCGTGTCTACCATTGTAGCCTCCAGTTTACACTTACAATGAACCAGGGGAAGTGCAGGGTCAGATTAAGTACCTTTCATTTCCAAGCCATCTAGCTCAAGAATCTGAATTGAATAATGTAAAAAAAACTCTTAATACAAATTGAGTGATATGATAAATTTAAGAAAATTAAATTAAATACATTGTTTATTATAGAATTGAAAATTGAATAACTTAAAAGACTCAACGGTGAAAATAGAAAAAGAGAATGTAATCTTTCTTTCGAACTTCTTGATTATATGAAGAGACAAAAACAAAGCAATCTTTTAAAGTCGCACAAGAGTGCAAGATCCGTGCAGACACAAATATTACAAATAATAATTAACATCGCTTGTTACAAGTTTCTTTGATAAAAAACCACTTACTAGTTGCCAAAGTGTAACGTTTGCTTTTATTTATTGCAACTATGAACTCTTCACACACTATCTATAATGGATGCGCTGTAACCAATCCTATCATCAAAGTATCTTGACAAAAACATAACACCTCCATACTTTGATGTATGCTGAATCACTTGTAGTATTTCAGACGTCAACACTTCGGTCGGGATAAAAGCGCTTCCAGCCTCGGGCAACCTCAAAAATACCTCTCCATATGGAATAGCAGCTGTCCATTGTTTCCATGATCTCATAAGATTATTTTTTCTATCATTAAAATATTCACATGCAGGGTTATTATAGAACTGAACCCAAACAAAGTCAAAAAAGTCTAGTTTCAAGGTCCCTACCTAAGAATCTATCAGGAAATGGACATTGAGGAGCAGCACTTAGATACACACCTTGATAATCCTTGAGATATTGTGCAAGGTATTGCCAATATTGTGCAGATCCAAGTTCAATATCAAAGTCTATGCCATCCAACACAGCATCACCAAATGGTCTTGAAAATGAGGTGCCACCCAAGAAAGTGTTCCATAAATATTTTGAAAAATCTCTAGCGTCCTCAACTAAAGCCAAAGAGTATCTTCCGATTCCACCGCCGATAGAAAGCAACATTGTGATACCACTGCTTTGAATCTTAATTAATAATTTACGTCTCAATTTACATTTAAAATTAACTACACAATGGGTGGTAGAAAACAAAGGTTCGCGTTAACCCATTTTAATTGAGATTCCATTTTAATAGTACTCATTTTGTTATATCACAACACACACCAAAGATAATATAGTTTAACAATAAACTATAATACATGTGAATTCAACCAACAACACTTAATTTAAAACTGAACTAACATATCTAATCTAATGCAGTCTAAACCTTCCAATAAAACTTGGTCTTCTGAATTTCATGTACAACATAAGCATTCATGAGGCTTTGTGAACACAACATTCCTCATCTCACGAAAACATAAGCACTCATGAGGCTTTGTGAACACAACATTCCTCATCTCAGCAAAAGAAACTTCTAAAGAACTACTACATTTCAAATCTTCACAAGATTCTAAAGACATACAAAGAAACTTCAAAATATCATAACATTTAAAGGCCTGCTTCAACAACTATGACATTAAGTTCACCATAAAATCTCCTCAACATAGTCTAAAATGTAGACAAATCTTGTAAATTTGAACAGATCACCGATCATAAAAATGTTACCTTTCATATCTTTATTGGTGCAGAAATAGTACTTGATAAATCCTTGATTGAACTGTATGCAACTTTGTACAACTATCCCATCTAGTTCCGATTATACTGAGCTTGCTATTGCACTAACACACTCTCTGAGGTATAGTTATATTAAATTCCCTTACAGATTGGACACAAATGTCTTGCTTTGAGATATTTTCTTTGTATCACAACCAAACACCAGACATTATCTATATCATCATCTCCCACTTCACCTAAAGCAACAAACAATGTGCCAATTTTTCCAAACTAAACCCTAAAAAAGGTTTACTTGCATAAACAAGTCATAAAATAAATAAGAAAGCTTAACTTTAATGTTTCAACCATCTAACTCAAACACCAGACACGTCACTAACATGTCCTAACATGTCGATATATTATTAGTAATAATTTGGACAGAACATAAATAATTAAATGTCATCACATATGGAAAAGTCGTGTCGGCGTCGAACACGGAAAAGGCGAATACACCTTCCAATTAAAGTATGCATTCTACATAATTACTAGAATGTAATTGTCATAAACCTTGCATCTCTACTTTTTTAACACACAAACCAAGTATCTAGAGTTGAAAGCAGTTTTACCAACTAACTTTTCAATCCAGCCAAAGAAACAATAGCAATCAAGACCAAACTCTATTCCTTTTTCAAAACAATCAAGAGCCAACTTTTATTTTTCTCCTATCTAGAATTAAACATAATGAAAATAGATCGAACATCTTGTATGCAAGCATAAGAATTGTTACTAACAAGAAAAATCAGCATAGCTAGCATCAAATACAACTAAATAATAATCACATAATTAAATGAATCAATGTCTCTGCTTAATGAAAATAGATCGAACATCTTATATGCAAGCATCACAAACTTCTACTGCTATGAAAAATCAGCATAGCGAGCATCACAAATTTCTACTGCTATGAAAAATCAGCATATGCAAGCATTATGTTTTTCAACCTCAAAACATGGAAGAACTCTGACAAAAGTCGTTACCTCTAACAGGGTGTTTTTTTAGCTCTCACAGTAATTACTAATAATTTCTCAATTCACTTAGACAAACAATGTTATTATTACTTTGTGCAAAATGCATTCAACAATTAGAGTGGTGGTGCAGTTGGTTAGGTTCAAGCATTAGGGTTTTAAACCCTGCAACCTCTACTGCTATGTCTAAATAAAATATTCACTATTTGATGATTAACAGCTTGTTTGTGAAAGGAAAAGACACATATGAAAGGAAAACAATCTGTTTTGACGATTGTTTAAGAAGAAACATATGAGAAAACAAACAGAGGTTTGAGAAGGAATATGAAAGGAAAAAACACATATGAGAAGAAAAACCTGTTAAGATTTGTAGTGTTGCTGCTGCTTTGACGGCGGCGCGAGATAAGAGATATCCAGCAGTGCGTTTTCTTGTGCCCTAATTGTTGATGAAGAAGAACATAAAAGGAGAAATGTTATTTCACGGTGTTTTCATGGGAGATGGAATTAGGGGGCGGCGGGTTAGGTCACCATCGTGAACTTCAGTATTTTTCAATTGGGCGCGTGCGAGAAGCGGTTGTTTGAAGTATTTGGGGGACGGTAGTTGCGAAAATTGTCGCGGCTTGAGAAAGAGGACAGTTACGTACTAATTGTCGTGACTTTTACATTATTATTTTTTAAAGTAAAACGGCAATGGCCCAAAAGGGTCGTGGCAACCGTCGGGAGTGAAGGATAAGGGTCATTACTAAGTAACCGTCACACAGTCTCATAAAATTTTAATTTTCTTTTATATATATATATATATATATATATATATATATATATATATATATATATATATATATATATATATATATATATATATATATAGCTTAAATGCACTTATAGCTCTCTTATTTATAAATTTTTAACGTTTTTCTTTTTAATTTTTTCAGCCTTTTAGTCCTTCAAGTTGTTACTTTTTTGGGACTTTTTTTAGTCTCCATCCTATTTCGATTATTTGGCGCTCAAAATGGTGATTGGACATGGTCAGTCAGATGTCAAGTCATTTAAATAGTTGTCAATTTAATGACATAGCATAAAATTTGTATTTTCATTAGTTGTGAAAAACCTAAAAGAATTTGAACCGTGTTTATGTATCAAAGAGCCCTAATTTCTTCATAATTCCCCTAATTTCTCCGGCTGCTTCCATAACCTCATCAACAATCTGCGAACGAATTGCGAAGACACCATAGAATGTAAAGAGTAAGGAAGAACGAAAAAGCAAGGAAGAAGTGAAATACTGCATGAGATAAGTGAAACTTTTTTTTACTGAAATTAGGGTTTATTGTCCCATCTTCGTTTCTTTATTCATAATGTGGTCCCTTTTTTCGTTTTCTTTATTCTGAATGTGGGTCACAAAAAATGTTGTTTATTATAAATGTTGGACCAAATAATGTTGTTTAGACCGAATTAGGGTTTATTATAAATGTGGTCCCCAATATTGATGTTTATTATGAATCCTTGTTTCTATTACAGACCAAGTCAAAAGCAAGGCATTATGATACGATTTCATCTTAGGGGAAAGTTAGTGTCTGAACCTGTGAAGTGGTATGTTAACGGGGTAATTTCTGAAATGAACTGAGAATGGGATATGGATTATGTGTCATATATGCAATTGAGAGAGTTGATTCACAATGAGGGATATACTAATATTAAGTGTTTATGGTATTGAAATCCCAAGTATAGTTTTTCGCGTGGTCTTAGACCCCTAAATTCTGATTAAGATGTGTTGAAATTTGTTGATGATGTTAAGGATTATGATGTTGTAAATGTGTATGTATAGCACTTAGTTTGTACTCCAGATATTATAGATGAGGCTTGACCGATAAAATAGCAAGTGTACTATTTTTGCCGATGTAGTAATAAGGGGAAATTCCCCGAATATCGATCTCGCGGACTGCGTATAAACACAAGCTTTATAGTAATGCAATTGAACAAAAAGTCAAAGGGGGTTGGTTTGTTGTTTGCAAAATGTAAAAGCCAAAAGGCAAGAGCAGTAAAATAAAGGTTTTAGACAGTTATGAGAAGCATGTTAGGGTAGGGTGTATGAAAACCCTTGCAATAACCTTAAATCCTTTGTGTTCAGAAATCACTGCTCAATTCAATCGTTACCGGTTTTAAAGATTAGTTGACTCTAATTCCTTAGCAGAAAACTCTTTGGTATTCTTCCTATGCCCCAATTCCTTAGCGGTATAGGAACAATCCCAAGCAATATATTTTATCTAAAACATTACGGTTACTATAGGGTATCTCCATTTCGAGGCAATATTTATTATAGTATTATCGTTTAAACGCGTTAACGATCGTTTTTCCAAACCTAAGGTTAACCGTAAAACAAATCCTTATTTGTCAAATAAGAAAAGCCATAAGAAAATTATACAATAACAACGATGATTAGAAAACAGTGAAATCCAGTATTAAAAGGAAACAAGGTTATTACAGAGTCAATTCAGGGACACCCCCTAGCATTGGGGGTTTAGCTACTCATAATAGTACAGATAAAATCGACAATAAGACTAAACATTACAAGATAATCGGTTACCTTGATTTTCAATCACTTCCGCTCATGAGGACCTTCAGTTTTCCAAATCCTTGATCGCTCCAATCTTTCTCGTGAAATTATTTTCTGTCCAAAAGTCCCCTTCTCAATTCACCATGCGTCTGATATATCAAAATTCAATTTACAGTGCGAGATGCCTAAACTGCCCTCCGAGACCGTACAGTCAGCATAAAACACAAAATAAAAACATTTTACTTTCAGTAGCCCTGACACGGGCCGTGTCATGGGACACATGCACCCGTGTCAGGCTGCTGACTCGTGGATTACAATCTTCATCATCAAGGGTCCTGACACGGGTCGTGTCATGGGACACGGGCACCCGTGTTGGGCTGATGGTTCTTGGGTTTGGCTATTCAACTTCTTGTCCTTCTGAGCCCTTCCTGACACGGGCCGTGTCATGGGACACGGGCGGCCGTGACAGGCTCCTGGTCCACCTCAAAACTCTTCCGAATTCTTGCCATTTTCCCCGGTTTTCGCTCTGATTCTCCTTTATTGTTTACCTGAACCTAGAAACAGTAAAAATACCAAATCGACGTGTAAAAGGTAATAAAAAAAAATAAAATGCGATAATACATAACAATTGATTAACTGAAACAAACGGTACAATAACGTGCAAAAACCCCTGATCAAACTCCCCCAAACTTAAACCATTGCTTGTCCTCAAGCAAAAAGCTTGGATAAACTCTTTCAAATAAGACAACACATCAAGTGAAGGGCTCAGGACGTAAAGCGTGTCGATACTCATACGCGAGTCTTAGTTCTGATCGGCTCAAACCAGCTATCTCGGTACT